GCTAAACAAAAAAGTAAATTAGCATGTCACAGTTGAGGAAAATTTGGCAAAAGATATGACATACTTCTAGAATAAAATCAGATTATTCCCACCTGACAGACTGATGTTAGTCTAGATTAACCATCCCCATTGCTAGTCATATCCTGCACCAGAATAGTACTACCTTGTGTGCTAAAGTTTATTAGTCACTAAAAAACAAAACAAACTTCGTGTACTTACAAAGCAATACACGTATAGCAGTAATGCAATATATGGTGTACACAATTACAAAATTTTTTAAAAAAACAAACAAACCCCTAAGTACAAGACTTCTGAATAAATGAACTGAGATAAAAGATTTCAACACTTTTATTATAAATAATGAAAGATACCATATATGTGCTTCATATAAGGAATACAGTGTTTTCCTTTCCTAGCAAACTATCATAGCTCGTACCATCAAACACTTATTTTCCTTGTCCGGCCTAGTAATTTTTCCGTCCATTCTCTCTCCCTCCCATTCAACTGAAATTCCTTTCGTTCTAATTTAATACTACCTAGTCGGGTGTGACTTAAGTGGGGCTCCACTTCCAGGTGGATTTGCCTTGCATTCTGTAAGTAGCCTTCAGACTTTTCACCTATGTGCACAGACTCTACCCCTCAAAAGAGTTGACATTTGCCTGCAGTCAGGAGAAGGAAAAAATAAAATCTACCAGAGACATGTTATGTTAAGGAGTAAAAGCAAAAAGCAAATTGGGTTTTTTTGCCTGTCTTCATTTTCTACTTCTTCAGATTTGCAACCCTATCATCTGTGGTGTATACTTGTCACTTAAATCCATATTGTAATTTCAATCAATTTTTCACATACTATTCATTTCTAAAATCCTCATACACACTACACAAGCTTTAAACAGTCAAACATTCCATACATACACTCCCTAGTTTTCAGCTCACCTTAGAATTTCAGAATCTTAAATGGGAGTATTACAAGGTTACACACTACTGTCCAGAAATCCAGAGAGTTTCAACCTCTTGCCCAGTCCCCCTCCCACCCCTTGAAGTATCTCACGCAGTGGTTTATACTATCAGCATTTTTTCCCATCTAGTTACCAATGTGTAATCTGGAGTAGATTGTTACTATGTGTCAACTCTTTGTTTTGCTGCTTAGACTGCCATTGATATATGCTTGTAAATAAGCCTCCTCCAAGATGGCAAAAAGGAAAAACACAAATTAATTGAAACTTAGGGTGTTGATGTCCATACTAACAGCGTTTAAAGATTTTCTTTTTATTGTTGAATAGAAAGCAGTTTGCAGAGATACAGCATTTGCTTACATTTCTTTTCCTTGTCCCTTCCTATTTCATTCTTATAGTATTGCACTTGTTCATCGTAGCTGTCAGAATGCGTGTAGCCATTTTAGAACTGTTGATAACCCTTGAAGAAAGCATCTTGAACCATTAAGACTGTGTAGCATCTACTTACTGCTTACGAAGGTATGTAGTGAAAAATCTTTCTCTCTGATGCATTTTGGCCTATAGGAAAAGGGTTATGAAGCAACATAGGTTAAGGAACTGGTGAATGTGATTTGTTGTGCAATGTGTACATTTCTATTAATAATCTATCTATTCTTCTAATTTGGTATAATGAATAAGGAATATATGGTTACTGTGTTTGTTGTTTATCTTTTGTACATGAAGGTGTCTGCCCTTGCATAAAGTGACATAGGAGTATCATTGGTCAAGGCAATGGCTTTCAGTGTTTCTGCTTTGAAAGAAAATGATGGAAGCAGCAGTTGAATCTACAGATCATCGCTCTCTACCAGGCCAGGCTGCATTGTCAGGTGGACTGGGTTTGCTTCTGGCTGGAAAGCTGCTTTGATGTCTAGTCCTTGGTCACAGAGAGCAGCGTATCGGCTGGCTGAGGGCCGCACCTTCTTTGGCTTGGTCTGCTGAGGGGGTTGTTGCCACTGAGCTATAAATTAAAAAGGAAAGAAAAAGTGTTAGCCTTCCTGAGCGGTGCACCTGAGTGTGCCAGATGCTCAGTCAACCCTTTGTGAAGGAGATAGTAATATCTGAGAAGCAGGAAACGATTATATCAAAGATAAATTTGTTTAATTTCTTCACATTGTTGGTTTTTTGGTTTTTTTCCTCAGCATGTAGTTTCACCTTCCAGTGTGGTAAGTAAATACAACAGTCTGTGCTACTTTTTGGCATTGTTTTCTACATTTCCTTGTGCCACTGAGAAGGGTGACAGCAAGGAGGTTGTTTCTGTGCACTCCTATTATAGTAAAAGGCCTGTTCTAGGGTTAGTTGTTGCATATAAAAGGAAATTATCTGCTTGCCATTGCCATCCCTTGTATACTGAAGAATGGTGAAACAAATCTCTTATTCACAATTCCCACTTCCTGCACGACCATAAACCATCCTTTATCAGTCTCTCCCCTTCCCCCTCCCAGTTAATTCTTGCTATGAGAATACTGGTAAGAGATACTTCTTTAAGAAAACATTCACTATGTATGGGGCTGCTTTGGAACAAACTGAGTAATTAAGCAGAAGGCCATAAAAACATCTACTAAAATTTTGGTGCTGTCATGGGTGTATTACAGATTAATGTACAAAAGAATACAAAAGGTTAGGGAAGTGCCAGCAAAACAATAGTAATAATGATCCACAAAAATCATATGATCATGCCGTTATCTGTTGTTAAGTAGCTGTATTTAATGTACAAAGCAAAACTAGAAAGCATGCAAGCTTGTTTTGATTTAGGTGTCTGAAAGATGGTGAAATATACTTTGACAGAGCATTTGTTGTCTTGAAGTGGATGTTTACTATTGAGGAGAAACTATAAACAAAAGAAAGAGAGACCAATGTAAACCATTCTGTCAACAACCCAAAACTTATAGAACTGTTGCATTTGGGGGGATTAATATGATCATGACAATTGAAGGCACTTACTGTAAACATCCAACCTGGCAGTGCAAGACACAATCCCAGCCTCATTCTTAGCTGAAACAGTGTACCAGCCAGCATCCTCCTTTGTAGCTCCCTGAATAAGCAGGCAAATGTAGCCGTAGTTATCCTGGTGCATGCTAATCAAAAGAAAATAGAAAATTACTATTTAATTCACAAAGCAGTGGAAGTGATTTTAAATAAACTGACCCAATCTTAGTTACAGATTGATTATAGTCTAACTTTAATTAAAATTTTAATTAAAATGGAACTTCCTCTGAACTTAGCAAGTAGAAAATAAAGCCTTGAGTATGCATGACAATTGTCAATTTAATATCCTGTATTGAAAACTAAGAAGAAAAAACACATGAAAGAACCTTTCTTTCATGATTATGGATTAAGACATCTGGAGTATCAGGAACACCAGATCTTACCCAGACTTTTTGTGGAAAGGATAAAGAAACTAAAGGAAGATCTAAAAATATAAAACATGGAATCTTAGTTGCTTAACTGTACAACAGAATTATGAATCAGTTTCTGCTGAAAAGCACAGAGTGTTCCTTTGGAACCTTGATTTTCACTAGCAAATTTCTGTAGTCTTGATTCAAGAAGATTAAAACTCGTTCTCCTCTTGCTTAGACTGCAAAGGTAGTTGCATAAATCTAACGATGTAACAAGTAACATTTTATTTCTGGTTCAGCCACTAGGCTGCCTGTAAGTTTGAGTAAATGTCATAAATTATTACAATCAATAGTTAATATTTACAAGATGCCCTTTATACAAAGTGTTCATGTGACCTTTTAGGTTTTTGTTTTACAGTATAAATCATCATTGAAGTTACACATGGGGAGGTAATTCTAAGTCAGTCTAACCTCACTCGGTCAGTGTTGTATGTGAGTGACTCATTCTCTTTCTTCCAAAATATCTGAGGAGATGGCTCCCCTGAGATTCGACACTCCAGTCGCACTGGGAATCCCTCAGTCACACCTGTGTTTTGTAGCTTCTCTATAAACACAGGTGCTTTTTGTACTTCCTTAGCTGTGAAAATAAAGATTGCAGTTATGTTGACATTTGTCTGTGAAAACATAGCCTTTCTTTCAGCAGTGTGCCAAAAACAATTCTGAAAGACCTAAGTGGCAGGAAACCTAAGTGTTGTCTTCATTAATCATGAAGCTCAGCCCTGGTTCCTCTGAAGAAAACAGTCCCATCATTATTTTAATAGGGGGGAAAGTGAGTGCTAAAAAGCTGAGTATTTCCTAAAATAACTGAAATGTAGAGCATGACAACTAGATAAACTGGCTGCACTATGCTTGGTAAAAAGTCCCCCATATTCCACAAAAGCATGGACTTTTAACTGAACACAGAACTGCTCTACCAGAAGTCTGCATTGGCATTAGTCTGATGTGTTGTGAAATGCACAAGGCATTCCAACTGGCTGCCCAGGGGTAGACATGGGTCTGCACAGATTGTCATTACAAAGAAACATCCAGGGAAATAGTCTGGTTTGTGGCCCACGGCCAGCGGCCCCTTTTTCTTAACTGTGTGCACAGACATTTAAATGCCAGACAACTTATGCCACAACATAACATGAATAGCTCACCTATAAATATACCATACTTCTGTCACTGCCAGGTTTCCTTATTTTACCCTCCACCCCTCAGTGTGTCACTTGACATCATTCATGTTTGCTTTTTTCATGCTATCCTGGCAGTGCTCAGGCTGAAAGCTTAGCATGAAGATGTTACCTGCAACAGTGAGCTCCAGGCTGAATGAATTTTCACCAGCTCGATTGCTGGCAATGCACGTGTAGATTCCAGCATCTCTGGATGTGACTGGTTCTATGATCAAGGAGTGCACCCCGTTCTCACGCACCAACATTTTGTGAGAGCTGTCAGGGCGAATTGGTCTGCCATTAAGTTGCCAGCTTAAGTCTGGAGTTGGTAATCCACTAACCTTGAGTGTAAAAAGAACAGTGGGAAATTGCTTTAGCCATGTGAAACACTAGAGGAGTCATGACTTGTTTCTTCAGGGAAGTTTGGTTTGGTTTGCTACTGCAAGTGTACCAAAAGATTTAAAGATCTAATTCTGTCCTGATATATACATTGAGTCAGTTGTAGTCATTTACTTAACTTTCTGGCCAACTCCCTAAATTCCATGATGTCTTATGGGCGCGACTGAAAAAAGATCAGTGTGTAGATAGGCTAGAAGCTAAATAATAATACATTGCAAAACAAAAGGCAGGGTGACACCTTTTGTCTTTTTTATTGTTTCCTCTTCAGGTGGAATGAGAAGATACTCCTTTCTAGATTAATTTATTGGAAAAACTGCAGACAAAAAGATGTTAGCTGACTAACTACTGACCTCTGAAGTTGCATTCCACTGAGGTATGCCCTAGTGACAGCACCACCTGCACTAGTTAATGCTTGGTCTGTGTGGACAAGTTGTGCACTCTTGAAAGCTACGCCACTTGCTGTGGGGACTCCTTCAGAGCAAACAGCTTCTTCCAAATAGGTCAGCATAAAGTAAACAGAAGTCACCCAAGCCTGAATTATTTCTGCTCAGCAGACAAAAATCAGGTTTATACCGTTTAAAACTTTTAAAAGGGGGTTTAAAACTCAAGAAGTAAAAAGACTTAAAATGTAGAAACACATTGTCTTTATAGTGTGTGCTTCTTCCGTCCACACCCCAGCGTAGCTGAATTCTATAAATCAGTTTACTGTGAGCTCTAAGATTTGCCTGAAGCACTTTCATTGGAGGGAAGGGAAACTTTTATTGTCCACTTACTCACTCATAAGCAATGAGATTAATTACCCTGCTAACAGGCACCGAAACTGCCAATAGGCAAAATTGCTTTGAAAAGAAACCAATGTGGTTTTTGAGTCAGCTGATGTTATCAAAAGGCTCCTGCTACCCTTTGCATGACACTTGCCTTGCAGTCCATCCTACATAGTTTTCCTTCTTGAACAGTCAGGTCTCCTGGAGCCTGCAGAAAATGAGGCCGGAAGAATCGTTCCTGAATTGGTTCATTTTCATCACCACTGTCCCTTGATCGAGATCGTGGTCTTAAAATAACATGAAATAAAGGTAAATTATTTTTTTTTCTCTGCTAAGTCAGAACCATAATCATGTGATATAAGACTGGTTTGAATTTTAAATCATTATCATAATCGCCCCATATTTACACACATGCACTAGTAGCATTTGGCCAGACTGTGTTAATTATGACACTGCAGTTATTTAATTACTTTCATTTAATTCCCATCTTGTGATAAACTGTGACCTATAATATTGCTACAGAATGATGGCTTGTAATATTAATTTTATGAATGACATATTTTTGTTTAGTCTTTAAATCACTGAAATACAAATAAAACAAGTTGCCAAGCCTTGGCATGTAACTTCAGTTCCCCATTTCTACTGTCCTGTGTATTTAATCCACTCACTGTTGCTGATTACACCAGAAGGTACATGGGCTGTTCATTAATCAGGGTTCCCTTTCAGCAAATAACAGCAGCTAAAAGCTAACTCATGTCAATTGACAAGAGACCTTTCACATCAGACATATCTTCTCTTGTTTTGCACTAGTGAAGACTGTACAGAAAATTCTGTGTATTTAATTGCTATGGATATATTTATTCCTAATTTAAAAAGTTTTTTTTGTATGAGATACTCTTGAATAATTTCAACGCCACCAAACTGTGGAATTGAAACAATGAGAATTTCAATTGTGAGAAATAGGGCGAATAACTTTGGTTGCTAGTTTTTTGTTGTTTTTTTTTTTTTAACATAAAGGTATGATAAACAGTTTGATAAATAATAAAAAGGAAAGAAAAATAACTCCTGTCCCCATACACAGTATCAATCACCTTAAGCTTCCATTATACCATTTAATCAATTTCCAGCATTGGCTAGTCTTCTCTTTTAATTTAATCCATCAAATCTTTTTTTTAAGTGATTTCTCATTTAACTAGATTTTTGTTTCTATTGAAATTAGATTATTCAATTTGTGTGATTTAGTAATCAAAGAATCTTGAAACAAAATTTTATGTCCATTTTTGTCCTTGCCTGATCAGGTCCAGTGGGCTCCATTCTGGAGCCAGCTGCTGCCTACAGCAATATCCTGTGTAAAGAAGAGGAGCTACTCAAATGTCCTCCAAAGACCTCTTTTATCAATGACACATTACAGTAAAATTCTCTTATTTGAATCCTACATCCTGTTAACTTTTGCCAGTGTTTCTGTTTTGGCTGCTGTTTGCAGTGTCCATGCTGCAGTTCAGGTGCCCATATGCATTTTCTACTGCCCAAGGTAATTTCTCCAAGTCAAAATAATCTCAATAAAAAAGAGCCTAAACCCCTCAATGCTTACACTTGCAAAACAAGATGCTGTTCTACTGCATGGAGGAGGAAGACTCCAGCTGCATGCTCTGCTTCACTGAGGCTGCAGTTAATTAGAGTTGCTTGAATTTGATTTATTTTGCCCTGCTCTGTTGTTGCCCTTTTCTCTGATATTGCTGTGTTTGGATTGGCCAGGCATCACCTGTGCTATGGTATTTTCTTATTAATAGCTCAATGATCATCACAGTTTTTAATGATCATCACAGTTATCTGACAGCTATGGAGATATAAAGGCAAATGCAGGGGCTGGGGGGGCTTGTGTAGCTATCCAGTCAATACTGCTTAATAACGTAGGACTGGATACTGAAATGGGAACACAAAGTGATATCTCTGCACACACTAAGAGCTCACATAACTCTTCAGGTGCCTAAATCCATGTCTGGAGCACCTCATAGTTTTTGCCATTGAACATGTCTAAAGCTACTTCAGTAAGTCAAACATGGTAGCTCATAAGCAACTCTAGGCTTTAATTGGTGAGCTCCTGATAGGTTTTAGAGACATAGATGCCTCATGCAGGTAGATGGCATGGAAGATGGAGAGCAATAAGGAAAAAGTGTACTGATATTGTTTGGTGATGAGTTTTGCAAGACCAACTAGAAATTAAGGTATCTAGTCAAGTGAGTGCTGTACAGTGCAAGCAACTTGAGCAAAATCTGCCTCCTCATTACTGATAAGCACGCTGTTATTAAGGTGCCAACAGAGTACAAGTAACTGATGCTTTGTACAGTTTTGCGAAGCTGAGCCAAACTGGTGAACTGGCACCACAGATGTGTGAAAGCCAGCATCTCACTGCTGCAGCTGCAGGAAAGGGCAGCACTGGCCAAAACTGGGAGGTGTGTGTGGGGAGAATTTATGTTAAATAAAATGGAAAGCAAAGAAGTTAAGAATTTGTGAACACAGATGTTCCTTTTCTACCTCTTTGTAAGTTTACCCTAAAATCATAGACTCTTTTTTTAAGCCTTTGCCTTGAGAGGTGAAACTAGGGTCATTTCAATTCTAAAACATGTTATGGTTTTAAACAAATAATGAAATGAGTAGAGCCTAGTAGCTTCAGATGTCTAAGAAGGACAAATTGCAAAAGATTGGAATAACTTGGATTCAATGTGGGCTCTTTGGAGTTGCAATGCAGCCATCACATTGCGGAGATTAGTTTCAGAAGAACTGACATCATGTACTAAATGTGTCCAGGGGAGACTCCACGGGTTGGTACAGTACAATGCACTGGGAATTTCAGTGAGTAAGAAGATGAAGACTTTATGACTGACCATATGGTAATGATCACTAATTTGGAATAAAGGAGATTAAGTTCAAATTAATCCCCTAATTGAGAGCAGGGTAATAGGAATGTTTAGTTTCTAAATCTTCTTTGAATCTCATATATTTTATTATTTATTTTGGACTCTGGCTGCCATGCTTAGGTGACACAATGTTTATTTAGCACCTTGTCATTTAAGGGATTGAGTCCAAGCTTTGTGCACATACAAAAATTCAAAAGTGGCTACCCAAATCAAGTGATACTAAGAAAGAGATGGTTGTCAGCTAGGCAAATTTCAGAAAAATACATTAAGAGAAAGAAATAAAAAAGAAATAAAACCCCAGAGTTCTGCCAAAACACATTCCGTAAGAGATTAAATATATCTCAAGAAAAAGCCTGTCAACGGTGTAACAAGTAATAAAGTTCATTAAGCTCATAATTACGCTTGTAATAAAAAAAAAAAATGGATTGGTTACTCTCAAGCAGAAAATCTTTTAGAAATAATATTGTAGTGCCATAGGAGTATTACTTACCAAAGGTCAATGGCAATAGACATGACAAATACCACAGTATATGGGGGAAAAGTAATTTGGGATACTACATTAGAAAAGCCAATGGCAGGAGTCTGTTATAGGAAGGTTTTATGTGCTCCCATTTCAACAGTCTCGGGTGAACCCTTCGGTGGGCGTAGTGAGAACTGTCCCTAAACAGAGATTCTGTGCTGAATGCTTACAGAAACTGCTTTTCCAAAGCAATGATAATGGGATAAGCCCTTCACATGGTTATTTTACAGGAAATAAGAATCCCCAATAATTGCCCTGATTTTAATTAAACTGCTGTACAGAAATCCCTTATTTCTAATTCATTACTCACTGGAGACCCAATCCAAAGCAGTAGTGGCTGTTTGAGTGCCTGTCTCCGTTAGGAAATAAAATACCAGCCAGAAGTGGTCTTGGACTTTGAATGCATTTGGAGAGATTGGAAAGAGCTTCCTCCATTATTACCTGAGGGTTCTGTCCCTCACAAAAAAGAGACACACACATTTTGTCCTTCAGGAAGCTGCAGGAATGGCAGCTGCTTGATGCTTTCACCCCTACCTACCTTCCCATTGTCTTTGCTTTTAAAGGTCTTTCTCCTTTGTTACCCCATGTGCACTGACTTTTTCAGCTGAAGCCTGATTTTTTTGCCTTCAGAGGTTAACGTGGACTTTCCATTTTTACCCATTACCTGAAGGTGCTAAGTACATTAGTGACTGGAAAGGCTATACCAAGTGGTTCTCACAGTGCAGCCTGGCAGGATATTCCCCTCCAGAGGCACTCTGAGCTTTGGGCTTAACACAAGGTGACACACTGCAGATGGAGTTGCTGGCCATCCCAGAGAAATGCTGGGAAATGCTTTCAGGGTTGCAGTTTGTTCAGTGCAGGAATAAGACTGGCAAGATCTTTTAACCAACCAGCCTCACTTCCTAATACTTCATAGCTACCAAAGGGGGGAAGAAAGCCTGTTTTACATGCAGTACTTCTACATTATATACTAGTACCAGTACTAACTGTTACAGAAATCCTTCCCTGGTTGTACACTGATTGTGTAATTGCATGTCCTCTGTATATTAGTAAACTCTGCATATTAGTTGGGCAATATTGAGATTCTATGGCTGTTGGAAGCATTAAGCAAAACACATGCCTTATTACAGCAGAATCCAGAAACCAGAGCTCTCACACTGCCTTGAAACAGTTCTGGTAACCAAAATCAACTTTTTTTGTATTATCTAAAGCTGTCTAAGCAGAACTAAGCAGCCTCATAAATACTTTGGGCAAAGAAAAAAAAAATACTTGAAGGGAAAATTCCCTTCTATGGTCCAAAAACATAACGCAAAGCTTCGTATGGGAATAATTGTAAACTCACCAAAGATAAGTTTAATACTTTATTTCTGACTCATAATTCCTTATAAGAACCTAAACTGAAATATTAAACACTGAAATTCTAAAATATTTCTAATGTAAATCTGATAAACCTCTTTGGCATGCAATTAAATGAACACTTACTCGAAGCTGCAGAAGATGACGGTTCCTGGCAGAATCCTAATCACATGAAATATTTTTAAAACGCCTAAGTGACAAGAGCCTTCCCAACAGCTGATAGTGTAATTTGAGATACAGAGTAACTAGTGAACACCACAGAAAAAGGAGGAGGAGGCAGGGAAATTTAAAGATATTTAAAAGTCATGTCATTTCAGAGATTGCTTATACTTCTGAGTGTGCAAGTTCTGCAGCAATTTTCATACAGCAGAAGTCACATTTCTTCCTGAATGCTATGCTTTTAGCTTATTTGCTTACCTCACATGCTTTGCCTTACCATAGTTATTTTGCAAAATCCATATTATTAAAAGAAAAAGAAAAAAAAAAGCATCAAATACCTTCTTATGTGAGGCTGACCTGAAGGTGACCAAGGACTGCGGCCTCTTTGATTTACAGCTTGAACCATCAGCCTGCCCGTGCAACTTACTCTGCCCTGTTAGGATGATAGAGAGAAGGAATATTAAAAGACTTAAAATGTGTTATAATAAATGTTCAATCTGATCTGTGTTTTTTTTCCTACCCATTTCATCAGCTTTCCAATCTTAACACAGAACAGACTGGAATGACTGTGACTATAATACGTTATTTTTTTTTTTTTTTACAAGACTGTTCATACCACTGGCAATCAAGTTCCAAGTTATTATTGACTGTTATTGATGTGGGCAGGAGGTTTCCTCTGTGTGTGGCAAGTGGGCAGAATGACAAGTTCAAGGTTCTGAAGATGGCCCATGGCGAGTGCTAGCAGTTAACAACAGAGTTGCTGCCTCCAAAGTGATCTACCTGATCTGGTGGGCCCAAAACTCAAAAAAACTCTCATAATGTGAAAGCAAAAAGAATGTGACAGAAACCTAACAAGTCCTCTCTGCAGACTGAATCTGGTTTGAGGAATTGCACTGAAAGGCACAGCTGTGCTGCTGGACAGTGGTGATAATTCAGGTTATTTTCAATGAATGGTAAATAAAACATGGCTTTGGTGTATTTGGCCCCCTTTTCTCTTTTACTTGGTGTTTTAGAAAACAGGTTCTCCACCACAAGTACTGTTCCTAACAGATTTGGGATTGGACTGCCCTGTAAGGGGTAAAAGCATCTAGTGGTCCTAATAAATAACTAGGCTGGTAGCAGTGAAGCAGCATCCACATCAGCTTTGCAGTGTATTTCAGCTTTAAGCTGTGAGCTCCACACTCAGGTCTCCCAGCATAAAAGTGACAAATAATTTTATCACAGTACTTGCAGGGCTGCAAATAACAGTTCTTTAAGAACTGTCAAAGCCCATCAAAAAACAATTTCACCATGCTCCCAAGCAGCAAACAGAAAAAAAATTGTTAAAATAGCAACAATTTTTGTGTTCACTTAGAAATGAAGTCTGTGTCCCACTTCTATTCCCATGACCCATTTAGTCAACAAGTAAAATCCCTGCATTAAAATAAGGCATTGTGCAAGACCCACAGCAATTCTTTACGTAAAAGCTTTTTTCCCCCATTATGTTACAAGACCATTGAAGACATCTGGAACAAATGAATTTGTATTTTGGGTACCACTACATATTAATATTTTTCTGGCAGGTGATGAATACACATAGTTTGGGATCATTTCTGCATATCTCAGTACATGATTGGTGTCACAAAGAGAAG